TTAATATGCACAGGCGAAGTCGAATATACGGAAGAAGAAAAATTAGATATATTAAAACAATTTCATGATTCAAAATTAGGGGGACATTTGGGAATAAACAAAACAATTAGGAAAATACAAAATCAATTTAGATGGAAAAATATGAAATCAGATGTTAAAAATTACGTAAAAAATTGTACGTCATGTCAAAAGAATAAAATAACTAATAAACATGTAAAACAACCATTGGCAATTACTTCAACAAGTTCGAGACCATTTGAAAAAATATTCTTAGATATAGTAGGACCTTTAACAACTACCTTATCAGGTAATACTTACATTTTAACTATGCAGGATGATTTAACTAAATACTCATTAGGAATACCTATACCGGATCATCAAGCTAATACTGTAGCAGAGGCTTTCGTAGTACATTTTGTATGTGTTCACGGAATACCTGAGACAATATTAACTGATCAAGGTACTGAGTTTCTTAGTAAGACATTTAGTGAAGTCTGCAGATTATTAAAAATCAACAAAGTAAATACTAGTCCTTTCCATCCACAAACAAACGGAAGTTTAGAAAGATCACATAGAACATTAGCCGAATACTTGAGACATTACGTAGATAAAAATTTAAGTAATTGGGACCATCTGTTACCTTATGCATTTTTCGTTTATAACTCAACTGAACATACTTCAACTAATTTTCAACCATATGCTTTAGTGTACGGAAGAACGTTAGAAATTCCGATAAAATTAAAATCTGAACCTGAACCGCGATATAATTATGATGATTATTTATATGATTTAAAACAAAGTATGCAAGAGTCACACAAAATTGCGAGAGAAAAACTAGTCACACGAAAAATTAAATCAAAACAAGGTTATGATAAGAAAAAAAATTCTATTGATATACATGTAAAAGATTTAATATTATTAAAAGATAATACTGCTAGAAATAAGTTAGAATCGTTATGGTTAGGGCCATACGAGGTAATAGATATAATAGGGGAAGAAAATATTGTTATTCAAAGAGGTAGAAGGGGAGTAACAGTACATAAAAATAATGTTAAGAAATACTTTAACGAAAATTTAAAATAAAAAAAAATATAAATAAAAATAGAATATATATGTATACATACTCGTAAAATTAAGGATAGTATAAAATAAGGATTTTAATTTTTAGATAAGAAGATAAGAAAGCATTTTGGTCATTAATACAAGGAGTTGGTAATATAAATATATATATTTAACAAGATGTGTGATACCTTTGAAAGGAATGTAGCAAGAGCAAAGGAGTTTATGAGACATTTGAGTACATTCTTAAGAGGAGACAATCACATAGAAAGAGAACTCGGAGATGTAAATTCCACGGTAGAATTAGTATGTTTCGCAGAACATATGCGACAGGCAAATAATCTAATGGCAGAACCATACACACCAGCAGAAATAATAAATTTAATAATACCAATAACGGGGTTTACACAAGATGTAGTACCGGGAGATGCGCAGAATGCGATATGTAAGGAATTAGGTGAAGTTCTAGATGAATTAATCGAGGATGGAGTAATATAAATAAAATAATGTAATATCGTATAATATCATATAATATAAGACTAGAATGGAATTAGAATTAAGAGATAAAAAAAAAAAAGAGATTAATAACTTATATGATAATAATAATAATTAATAAACAATAAAATTTTAGGATGGTGATGTGTATCATGACGGGTATTGAAATATCAGGACAAGAATTTGACAAATATTTTTCTATCGAAAACTTCGACAAAAATCCTCCTGGATTATACTTCGAAAATTATGGACCGACCAGGTTAATCGGAGCAGAATATAAATTAATTATGTACTTATCATTAGCTGAATATAATAAAAAATATAATGAACTAGGTAGAAAAAATAAACGAGTTAGACACAACATGTCAAAAGTTAAAATTAAATAGTTTGTGCGGGCGATATAACTATGTAATCACGGGATTATACAATGAAGTTACTACACAGCGTAATCGAATGTACATTGCATTAGGATATTCGGAAACAACCACAGACAGGAGAGAAAGAAGAAAAAGGGGTTTAATAAATGCGATAGGAGCGGTTATGAATACATTGTTCGGAGTATGCGATGATAATTGTGTGAGTAAAGCAAATGAACAAATTAAAGAAATAGAGGTATCAGGAACTAGTACATTACATATAATGAAATCTCAGACTACAGTAATGAAAACGGCAGTACAACGTATAGGTACAACAATAGAACAAACAAATAAAATGTATGACGAATTAAAAACTAGGGAGAAACAATTTATGTTAAAACTTAATGACGTAACCAATACAACAAATAACTTATTAGATTTAGTCGCTATGTCAGAAATACACAATATTTATACTGCACTAACTAATCAATATGAATATGAAACTTCAACTATAAATCAAATAATAACAGCCGCCAGAGGGGGAATAATACATACCAGTTTAATCACACCACAAGAATTAGCAACCACATTGAAAGAAATATCACATAGAATAAAAGGGAAATTGAGTATACCAATGGGAACTAACACCGCCGAATTGTACGAATTACACAAAATAACTAAACTAACAGTATTTTACGAAAATGAAAGACTAGTTTTTATAACTAAAATACCATTAATAACAGATACAGAATTAATACTATACAACGCCATACCTATTCCGATGGTGAGAATATTAACTTATGGTAATTCACTTAATACAAGGGTAACTATAAATCCAGAAAATGGTAATTCAATTAATACCAGGGTAAGCATAAATCCAGAAAACCCATACATAGCCATTACAAAAGATAGACGCGAATACACTACTTTTACCGAAATTCAAATTCAAACATGTAAAGAAACCACAATTTATCGAATATGTCACGCTTATCAACCCATACAAGAAAATAACGGTTTACAACCATGCGAAATAGATTTATTTAACAAACCACATAAAATTCCTAATAATTGTCGTTCATTAATTATAACAGTAGATCGAAACATATATCATAAACTTAAATACCAAAATGAATGGATATATTCAGTTCTTAACGACACAATAGTATCGTCTTGTACGGATTTAACTGAACCTCAAATAAATCATATAACGGGAACTGGCATTATCAAAATTTACGACAACGGATGTCAGTTATCGGGTAAACATGTTGTATTAACACCCATAGAAGAAGTATCACATAAAAAATTCATAGATTTTATACCACAAAGTGATATGACCTCATTATTAGACAAAATACCGCAGAATGTACATTTAATAACATTAAAAAATATAAGTTCATATAAGAGTTTAAAACTAACTGACCTACACGAATATTCACAATCACTTAACGAAATAGAACGACAGATAAGCAATGAGGAAGAGAGGCAAAAACATTATAGTCAACATACTACGCATTCGTATACGTTATACATTATGATAGTGTTAATCGTATTAATAATAATAATGGTGATAATTATATACATAATAATTAAGCGCGCAAATTTAATCGCTATAGGAAGAACTATTATAGATGCATCCACACCAGTACCTAGTCGTAGACAAAAATATTCAATTCAACGAGATTTAACGAACGAACACGATAGATTCGAAGCCATATATAATGTAGTAGGATCACGATCACCATCCCCAAGATAAATAAACTAAATAAAATAATATAATAATAAATAATAAAAATAATAGACATAAGTAAACTAATAAATCATTAATAATTAATAATAAGAATAAAATAGTAATCCATATTTGATATAATTAATTAATATTATTGTATTATTCAGTTCCCAGATTAAGTTCGTAATTATTGATTTTGAATTTGTCAACATCAATAAGCACGACTTACTACTTGTATCGGGGTCAATGTGTCATAGTCTAGACAAATATAGGCCAGTCAAGATGCAAGGGAGGCCGATCATACTGACAGGAGACAATAAGTTGAGGATGTTCAATAAAAAGAACCTGAACACCCTGAGACAGTATTTGAAAGGAATTTTCCGAAAGAAACCAGACGTGTTGAAACCTTTATTGGGGCAAATTGATATTAGTATCAATCACCAGGGGGCAACTAGTCTTGGTTCGGCGTTCATTTCCAAATACCTGTTTTCGGACAATACTCAACCTATTATTGTCACCTGGAGTGGGACTATGGATATAAAAATAATTAAGAAATTAAGGATACCAGGAATAAAAAAATTTTTAAATATAAGTACATATAGTGATAACAATGATAACAACTTTAGTTTAAAATTAATAGATGTAAGTAATAATAAATTGATACATTCAGTAAACATAGGGCATGTGCACAAGAACGGGAGAATGTTAAATCTAAAGGAGACTCACGATATGTTATGCGAAAAAGAACATGAAGTAACATATTGCCATGACCCTATGACCGATGTAATGTATACTAAATGTATTTTTAATTATTTAATAAGGAAAATAGGCCCGAGTAAGTTATTTAGAATATGTAAAAAGACGTAATAATAAAAAAAAAAAAAAAAAAAAAAAAAAAAAAAAAAAAAAAAAAAAAAA